TTAGTTTATTTAGTGTTTATTCCGTGTCTGTGCCGTAGTCTCTCTTGTGAATTTGAACGAGTAACCAGTTCTAATATCATTCAACCTTTCGTGTGTGTTTTTTTTATGAATTGTGGCCAAAGGATAGTCCAGGCTTGGATGCAAGTGTTACACATCGTTTGTTCGACTATAAGGTAAACGTGTATTTTATTTTTAAACGAAGACAGTGTATCGTTAATTGTGAATAACTTGAAAACGAACCACTAACACAATTTCGTCAATCTTAATTTTACATTTTATTTGAACATGTAAGAGGGGGAATATTGTACCTATTGCAATCATAATTCTTCTGAATAACGTCATTAAGGCAGGAATTTACAATAACGTTTACAGTCTAGAAGCTATTTGGGAAAAAAAACCAAAATTGTAATTATTATTCTTGAGCTGTTACAATACAATGACATTCTCTGGTCTAGTTTCTCGCGATTTATCCATCGATCTCAGTGTACAATAATTGATTTTCGAGAGAATGCAATCATCCTACGGCAAAGGAGCGTATCACGTACGCGCTGAAAATTTCTAAACAGTCAATGTCGTGAGTTTCTCTTCCGACTCGGACCGCCGAACGGCGATCTTTCAGAAAGAGCAGGAAGTTTTCGATTCGAAACGGGGTACCTTTGTGCAGGTGTTTCGCCCGGGAGAAACGGTTCGAAGTTGAATTGCTTCGAGAAGAGCGTTCGACGTTTCCCCGTGACTTCTTGCCGTTTTAATGACCTGTCTTCCCTGACAATTCCTCGCATAGCGTTATACAAAACTTCGAACACTGTTCCACAAGCAATTCAATTTCAAGCGATGCACTCGATACGGGGAAGAACGATCGAAGGTACTTCCCTCTACGGGGACACCTGAATGTAATCTGTATCGAGACGTCGAACTTTTTAATTACGAAGAATCGTCACACTGTTGTTATGAAACTATTTTTCTTGTTAGACCATGTCCAACAAAAGTGGGTGTCTACATATTAAAAACCATAAGTGTTAAAGTGTCTTACCAACATTATTTTAATTATAAACGTAAAAGACGTAGAAAACTATATGCTTTTGGATTTCGTTATGTTATTATCTCAGGTTGGCAAAATAATATATGCATTAACCATGACCTGCTACTTAATTTTCTCTAGTTTATCTATATCAACTTTTACGTGCCTATATTTAATATACCACCCGTTTAAGTAGTGAACCAAAAGGGGTGGGAACACAGTTGAGTTCCAGGCAACGTAGCATACCAATAGAATGCTTTCGAAATTGCGACTCAAGCTCCCGGCAAGATACACTATTCAGGCGTGAAAGGAAGTCCGTTTAACCCGCGAACTTCTTTATTAAATTCCACAAAGGCAGCGGATGGCGGCGGGACGGCGTTATTTGGTGGCAAAGAATTCTCCCGTTTTCCGCCATGGAAAAGAGAGTTGCTACACCGGTTCGAATCGTCGGAGTTTTCATTTGACATGCTCCATACAATGGACTCGGATTAATTTAATTATGGATCAGTCCTATTGAGCCCGTTCCATAGCCAGGTAGTCCCCTTTTCATCCCCCAGAAAGTGTTCCGACCTTTTTATGAGGGACGGCTCGGGGACACTTTGTTCTTCTCCCCGGCGCGATGTTTCCTTTGACATACGTCGTCGTCGCGGAGGAACGAAATTATAATTCAAAGATGGAGAACGGACAAAGGGGGCTACTCGCCCGGGAATGAAACTGGCTCAAATAGAATGTTACTGGGTTACTAAGGAATGATGCGAATTGAAGGCGCACCGGATGATTCTAGAATGTCACGGTATTGTTCCCTTTCGTTATCGATGAATAAAGGTAATTGGAACCTTCCAAATGGTTCAGTCTTTGATAAACAGGTGTTCGAATTTCATTCCTACGTAATTCGAAACGAAGAAAATGTATTATTCACGATTATTCAGGTGATACTTTTTTAACTGTAATAAAGATTGGGAAATGCAGGTGTATGTTAGCTTGTTATTTCGTTCTGCTTATTTTTTGAACCAAATCGGATCAAGGTACGAGTTGTTAGTAGCTTTAGGAAAAAAGTGGATGAGGAATGAAAGGAAAGACTCTTGTTTATTATTTAGTAAACATCTAATACTTGTATTATTATACATTACATAATTATTATTCCAAAAGTTCAAAATAATGACTTTTGTTACCCATTGCAAAATAGCAGAAAAGAAAAGCTCGGGTCGGATCCTCCGCACCTTACAACTTAATTTGTCCCTCGGTGTCGAGTTGACACAGTGGTCAAAATTAATATAACGAAGGCATAAATAGTTAAATTTGTAAATTCTTTAAAATAAAAATCATAAAGTCCTAAACAAATTCATCTATCCATGACAGAATATCGTAATTTCTTTGCAGAAAAATGTGTCAAATTGACACGAGGGGCAGATGAGGGTTAAAAACCCACCTTACCATTGAGTTCGACAGTGACAAAATCTAGACCCGGTAAAAACTGTCTTCCTTACCTGATAAATATCTCTCTACAAGAGAAAAACACAACAAAATCGTAGATCATAATATTAGGTCTCTCCTAACAATAAATTTTCCACGAGACACCCCATTTCCTCCGCTGTTGCTCTCGAACGATAGTCTGCGGACTTCCTCCGCCATCTTTTTTCGAAGACCACGGCGATACCCATTCCCCCTGTCCCAAGCGGTAACTTCCAATATACTTCCTTGAACGTGGATAAATTGGAAATACCGCTGTTCCGCGGGACGTAACTTCCGCCGCGGTGAGATCGTACTTTCATTAACCTTTTCAACGCGTCGGCGTCGAGCCTGGTGATCCAGGGGAGAATGATTTTTACTGGCTTTTGTTTAACGATCGCGCGCCACCGTCGCCTGAAATTATTGTCCCCGCGGGATCAGCGTCCCGGTGTAATTTCCGGGGGAAGCACGGCGTGTCTCGTTTACAATTCGCGGGGACTTTAATTTCACCCACTCACGCCCCCATCCGGTAATTTACGGCTGAGAGAATCCGCGTGAAGGATCGGAAACTTCTCCGACCAAATAATAAACAAGTTCGGTAATTGTTCGAGGCGTCTCGATCCGCGAAATCGACGTCCTTTCCTTTTTCCCCGACGAAGTTCGGCCGCGTTCGAGCCCGATTGTGGAAGTTTGCTCCGGAAACTCGTCGAAAAGCGTGGGGCAGGGGGGAGTACGGTTAAGACGTTCGGGAACACTTACGGAACCGCTTTAACGAGCACCTTTTCTTGACTCGTTCCGAGATGAAACATCGCGCGAGAAAATCGATGATCGGAGAAAATCGAGTGGCCGGAGGGAATTGTTTTATCGGATTTAGGTCTGGTCTCTTGATGTTTATTGGAAGGGAATTAATGAGATACGAAGTTTCAGATGGCGGAATGGAACTTGTTTTAAGTGTTTATTGGTACAGTGTATCTTAGTTAGCTTCCTATCGAGAAGTTATTAATCCCTTAACACGTTGACTGTCACAATGATAAAAGCCGTACATGGTTAGACACAGTCTATTTCGTTTTTTTTAGGTAATAAATTGTCGCAAATATTTATTGGCCTTTTTCTGACTTATATTGCGATTATCAATTTTAGTCTTAAAAATATCCCTCATCATTTTCTACGCATTTACGTCATTTCTGGTGCAGTTGGTAAATCTACTTTCGAAAAAATTATGTTGCTTTCGAGTCAATAATTAATTCCAGGGACGAATTAATTTGTACATCAAAGAATTTTCTCGAAAATAGATACTGAATTTAACGAAAGATAGAGTGGATTACTAACTATTACACCTAATATTGGAACAATCGTAATGTCCTCGTAACCGGTAAAGCTTCACCGATCGAAACTACGACCCGCAGCAGCCGTCTACTGTTCTCGATCGAGCTACACGCAATGGCGGCCCGCTATCAATCCAATTTATCGTCCTATCGACGAGCATTAAGAAATTCATCAGTGAACTCGTTCGATAAACGAGAACCAGTCGAATCGGGTATACGTCGCGACGGTCTCTGTCCCAGGAACAATAGACGATGCCAGCGATTGTTGCGAGCAAAAGGTCCTTTGTCCGTTGCGCCGAGCGGTATACCGTTGCCGGAACAGATTCGCCCAGGGAGGTTCACTTCGTAACCGGTGTACGCTGTGTAACAGATAAAAAACACGGACATTTATCACCTGAACTGCGAGAAACCACCGTGCTGCTTGACTGACGTTTTAATCGAATACGCAAGCCACCGTGCAGGTAGAAAAAAAAAAAAATACACCCTCTGCGTTGCTTCGGTCACCGTGTAACTTCCTCTTTGCATGTAACCGCATGCAAGCGTTGCTCGTGAATGGACGACGAGTGTAACGACGACCAGGACACACTCGATAAATTACTGAAACGAATGAGATTTATGGACAGTTGCAGTTGGTTCCGTTTCATGTTTTCAAGTTTCTCTGTAACATAAAATTCATTTTTACTTTCGTCCAAGTAAATTTTCTGGTACTACGATGTAACGTTTAGATAATGGATTTTAGAAATTTACCTAGAGTTCAGTAGAGTTTAACTTTGATAATAAATATAATAAGGAAACTTCTCTATGGTTTCAGTTGATACGAATTGTCCTATAAATATCTATCTGTTTCAGTGATTGATTTAGAGTCGATTAAACACTTTAATAAAGCGTATACCCACGCCCAACTTTCGAGGGTTGCTCTCACGTTCGTATGCATTTGGAAGTAGACTCTTGCGAGTTGAACACGTAAAAGTAGAAGTAACGTATCCTAGAAAGCAAGGTGTCGGAAAATGGATCCCAAGTCTGCATTTGTCAGTGAGTTCTACTCTAAACAACGACTTGTGTCCACGGAGTAGCATCAGACCTTCAAACTCGTAGACTTCGAGTGTGTGTCTCTTACTTTTCAATTTTACGAAAGTATACAAATATTTCATGTGATCGCCGGCGAATAATTTACACGTTTGCTTTTATGTTTTCCAGGAGCGCACTGTTACAGCATGCTGCACGGGAGCAGCGGAAAAAGTGCTAACAGCGTGGGCGACAGCAGCACACGGTCCGGTCCGTACTTCGACCTGTCCGCTTCGAAAAACGTGACCGCCCTCGTTGGTAAGACCACGTACCTGAATTGTCGCGTGAAGAACGTCGAAAACAAGACGGTACGTAGAATGATCAAGTCGGAATACCTTAACGAGACTAAGGAAACTGGGTCGTTTACGGCCACCCAGATTCCTTTTGTTTCGTCTTTCGTTTACTTAACCCTTACACACTGTTCGAGGAATTGCTACTATTCTCCGTGAATTAAATTGAATCGTCGATAGATTGTAACGTATACAGGGTGTGCGATTTATCTGGAAACGTATAAATATCTCGGGAAATATGTGGTAAAAGGGTTAGGGTATGCAAGTCCCCGTTTAGGGGATGCAAGTCCGATGAGTTTGACATAGGTTGTCAATGACATTCTTCCGAATAACTCTCAAAAAGTTTTAGTCGTCGCTTGTTTTTTATTAAAAAGTTATTAGTAAGAAAAGTTTGGTATCGCACTTTAGTAGTATTGATAAGTAAAATGACCACTTCGACATATGTTGTCAAGGTCACCCTACTGAGTGACCTTCAATTATACTACTAACAATTCAATTTACATTTTACTTCACCGTTACTCATCGAGTGCCCTCGTAATGACAATTACTCGAAGAGTGCACAAGGGTTAAGTAAACACATCGTTGTCGTCGCTCGACCAAACATGTCCGCGGTAAGAAAGTTCGACAGAGGACACGTCGGCTGATTCCGGAACGGGGAGGGAGAGCTTAATAGCGTAGCCGTTGATAAACAAGCGGGAAATTAAAGTAATTGCTGTTTCGCGCCTAAAAGGGTAACAGGAACGGGGAAATTAATATCGGTGAAAGCAACGGGTTCAGACTCGGAGGGCGAAAAGCACGGGCCTCCATCATGGAGATGGGCTCACGTGTAAACGTTTTTCCCTTCCCCTCCCCCTTCCCCCAACCCCCTGGCGGGTTAGTGCAGGAAAATATCGAGTGTCAATATTTTGCCGGCACAATGGATCGTCACCTGTCTGTAGAAAACTGCAGGGGGATGCATCGGAAGTGCACTTGGGCGCTGCCTGCCTCTCCACAATGTCATTGAACAAAGTGCGCTGGGTCATCGGTATATCTGTATAATGTTTATTCGTCAGAGGGAGGGGGGTGCCCTGACAATTATTAGATTTCGATTTATACCGGATAATTGACTACGGATATTTTTTGGGGCACGATGAATTGTTTGAATGAGGTAAATGGGTCCCTTTAATGGACTGAGAATGATATTACTATTTAGATGTGAATTGGTTTGTTTTCGATTGATGACCAGCAGAAAATGATCGATCACGGGTGGCTCTTTTTTTAGACAATATTACATGTAGTTCGAGATAGTTTATATTCTCGTGTATTAAGTTTTTCATTCGATTTCTTACAGTAGGTAATTATGTTGTACCTTCAATTATGCTTCTTCTAACGGCTAACTTATGAATATGTAACCTGTTAATTGGTAACTTCAAATAGGTATAATGATTGGAAATTTGTTTCTGAAATATCTACTTTACATTTGTCTTTTCATCCATTTTTTTCAGTGGGTTTGTTTATGTCTGTTGTATCTGTTTGTAAGTTAAACTGACGCACAAGTCTTCTTCGAAAATGTAGAATTGACAGATATTCCAGCCATAAGAAATCAATCTAATGAAAATTATTGTACGAGTTCTTGAGGCGTTTGCGATGCTCCAAGCAGTTTCTTACGCGAAGAATATAGTTACGGATGCGACGATAAATCTCCGGGAGACTGGTTCGTTTTATTCTAATTCGTGTAAGTTATTTTTTCGGGACAAATTTATGCATGAAAATTAGATATGTATACATATAGGAAAAGATTCGACGATCGTAACTCATGCGACCGTGTTTTATGAGATTTTTTTACCGTCACCTTGTGGCGAAAGATTAGGTCATCCGGATTATTCACGGAGCCCGTACCCACAATTCATAGTCACCAAGACGCGTAAAATAGTTGGCTCGGTCAAATCGTTACGCGTTGTAAACTTTAGCAAAATGCAAGATTCAGAATTCCCGTCCTCAATTTTCCCTGAACAATTGACATTGTTTCAGTGAAATTCGTAAAAGTACACATTCTTCGGTATTCGCTGTCATTTTTAAAGAAAGAAATATTATAAACACGTTTTAAATTTCTATGTTACATACCAGTTCATAACAATATCATTCAACAATAGATCACCTATTGATATACCTAATACATACATATCACGGCGAACAAAACCAATTGAACAGTTCAAGAACCAGTAACTCTATCCAACATAACAAAAATCAGAGAAGGGTTAATACCATCAAAGCTATTCCGTGATAATACACGTCATCCTATATATCTTTCGCCTTCGTCATATCGTGAATCAGATATCCCCGAGTATCGTGGATCCAAGCAATACGGCATAACCGTTGGGGTTGAACCGTAATCGGATTCGCCGAAGAATACACGTCCGCCAATCAACGTCGAACGTATCTTACCGCTTCCCCCTCCACCGTTAATCTACGAGCCAGTGATCGAAGATTCGATGTGTTTGCACGCGAACAAAAAAAAAAATCTAACGGAACAGCTCATTCATATGCATGCTTCTAACCCAGTTTCGATCGTTCGAGAGCGTAGCTGGGAAGTTTCTGACCGGGAGATGCGGTCAATTTTTGAGCACAGCCCCTGGACTGTTTCGGAAATTTTAATGACAGTGCCAGTTGGATCAGTCGACAAACGCGCCTGGGAAATTGACTCGAGTAATTACGCGCGCGCGTGCACGCGGTTGCTAGTAACTCTCAACACGCCTGGAAAATTCTCCGGCGTCGTTTCTAACTTTACTTGCCACGGCAATTAACGAGAACGTAAAACGAACGGCGAAATAACACACGACGAACAGACGGAAACACGATCGGAATCACGTTAGAGGTTGTGCATGTGTGTCCGTTTAAGGCGATTAGGGAGTGAAATTTGATGAAAATGTGACTTTTTGGGAGAATTAATTGCGAGGAAATGTAGCATTCTATTTAGAAAAATTTAGGTCACTTTTGTTTCTAACAATATATTAAAAATATAAAAACTTTAGGAATGCTATCATATTACTGGTAAAATATACTACAACTTTCTCCTCTTCAATATCTTTTTACACTTTATAGTATTAGTAAACATTACCCAAAAGTACTAGTAACAATTTATATTAATTTAATTGTAATGAATTTCCAAAGAAAACTTCCATTTTCACCAAATCTGACTTTCTAATCCCCTTAAGAGAAAATGTAGCGTTGTTGGCCTGCGAATTGAGTTATTAGATATTTGATTATTTGGTGCCTTTATCGTTTGCTGTGGTAGTGAATAATTTACTACTATCGTTCATTGAATCTAGTATTTCTTTCCAAGAGACTTCAAGATACGTGGCTCTGTAATAATATTCGTCTTTATACTTTCGGTCGGTACTTAATTTTTGTAAAGTAAATAAACGATAAAATTCAATTTCATATAATTATCTAGGAAAATAATTTTTAGATCAATTTCTTTTTTCTCACCGCTTTCTAACAATACATAAACAGGCTACTCAATGTCAGGATAATTATAGAGGACGGAAGATTACAGTGCAGTATATTCAACGGTGATCACTGGGCGGGTTGGCGGGATGACTTCCTTTGAGACGAAATTAGCCGGAAAACTTATTCCCTGCATAAAATATCCACGGTTCCTGGGCGGGGCTCGTCGATGTTCACCGGCGACGCAACTAAGTTTGTCCCGTAAAGTACACTCGGGTAATTACAACCGAGTTCGAGTATTTGATTTCGAGATCATGTTTACCCGATCACCCGTTAAAACTTCCGAAGCGTAGAGATCCGATCTGAATCGTTTCGTGGTCGAACTCGAGGAAATAAAGAAATTTCGAAACATAGACCGACAAGGAAACGTTTTGTGTCATATGATCGTGAAAAAGGACTACGATGAACTTGACATTACCTCAAATCGAATTTCTCGACTGTAGTGCTGTTGTTCGCGTAAACAGCGGCTACAATCAGTTCTTCGTAGTCAGATTGATCATCGGGTAGCAAGACAAGAGCCGTAATCCGACCTACATTAATTTAAGATCAAAGTGTTTGACGAGCTCCCCGGTGGGGGGAGGAGAGGCGACTCTACCAAGACAAAGGGAAGGGTTGGGGCTCGAGAAAGAGGGATCGTAGCACGAAAGGGCCCCTACAAACGAAGGACAGTGTTACGTAAGAAGGTGAAATCCTTTGTCGTGGCTAGGAAGCCTTTAATGAGCTCGCTAGGGACTCTAGCCCGTGGGCTACGAGTGAAATTTCATCGGTTACGATTCACCGCGACGCGACGCGTCGCAGGTGAGACCGATACCTCTGTTAATCCAGAAATTTCTCGGGTGACGTGATTTTCGGCGTTGCAGGTGCCATTATAGAGAACGCATTGACGACCGAAAGACCTTACGGACGCTTGAAAATCGAGAGATCCTTTGTTCCTTTGATTCTGGAATCCCCCGACCAACTTCACTGTATTCCGATTCGAACGACATATTCGAGATCAAACGGTGAATTGAACGTTCAACGATCACTGAATTCAATTGCGTAATATGGTATCGTTAAAGTGTACATAAATTCTGATCGAATCGCCTGCAAGGTTCCGGTGATAATAAAATAAGAAATCTATCCTGATTTTGTAATTAATCAATAAAACACTTTCTAGAACGTTTGAACGCGTTTATTCGATCGTTTTCGGTCTAAAACATTTTATAAAACTACCGTACACAGTTCTTCGTGGAAAAAAATGTTAGTGCGTCATCCACGAGATGAGACATCTAATTTCATTTTGACCTGAAACTTATGGACTCCATACCATTCCCCGAATATACATAACGCATCAGGTGCACCGTAGTACTACCCAGCGTGGTTATGTTAAGTAACCACAGTATTGGCTCGTGATCGTGGTCATATCCCGACCGTGGAATGGGCGAACTCGTAGACAGCGTGTGCATCACGGATCGATTTTGTAGCATTTCCAACTGCTGCCGGTGCTTCGTGCCTGGATCTAGGAGTGGCCTGACGAGAGCGTAATGTAAATA